CAGATTTATATAATGTACAGTGATACAATTTGTTTAAAAAAAAAAAATTTGAGTTGGCCCCTTTTTGGCAGGTCGATCGGGTGAGGGCAAACAAACAATATTTTTATTATGGCCCCACCCCCACAAGCACACACGCATGTTGCAGGAATGCACACACACACAGGCATGCAAGCAAGCATGCACACAGACGCAGGCATGCACGCACACCGACATACACACATACATAATGTACACGGACACAAAAAGTGTTGCAGTTTGAACAAGGCTTATCAATTTTATCAGGTGTATTTGATGCAGCCTGGTTTTTGGGGGTGAATCGTAGGCAAAATCTAGAGCAGATATTGCACAGCTGTGAAAGTGTTATTGACGGAGGGCACGAAGAGGTGTGAGCAATAGCATGCATCTTTAAATTACACTGTACTAATGTATGCGTTGTGAGTTTTCTAGTTAATGTCATGTTATGGTCCCTTAAAAATAACTAGGTCCAATAGAATAATAAGAATAATAATCACAAAGTGAAACGTGATTTTTTAGTGATTTCAAAGATTGTAAATACTCTCAACAAAAAATTTATCACTGAACTTTTGCCAAACAGAGTTTTTGTTACAAGGATGAAATTAAAAACTCACTGAGACCGTGTGTCATTGGCCATTTGAAATTTTTTTCTTATAAAGAACAAACAGGGGCAGATCTAGGGGGGTGTCCAGGGAATCTGCCCCCCCTTCCTTTTAATTTCAAAGTGCCCTAAAAAATTCATCTCCATTTTTTTTAGGGTTAGTTTTTCTGATAAAGATTTACTTATATAAAATCTTAGAAATGGGCAAAGAAGGGTCCGGGGGATCGGATCTGATAAATTTGTGTGAATTTCAGAGGTGAATTTCACTGTAGGATGACTTAAAAGAATTTTCTGCTAAAAATTGAGAATTCCGTCTTGCATTCTTGACATCAAAATTACTGCTCAGATGCTCTCAGAATGAACCAATTTTTAAAAAATTCTTGGAGGAGGTCCCCGAAACTCCCCCTAAGTACCTTTGGCAGCTTTTTAATACACCAGAAAAATTAAGCAGGAAAAGGTGCCCTTTATTTCTTCCTGGACACCCCCCTTTCAAAAATCCTGGATCCGCCCCTGACAAATGACATTGTCATGATGCTGTGGGCAGCATGTATGATTGAATTTCCTGAAAGAAACAGAAAATTACTTGGTATGATAGAGATTTTCGCCATGAAGGGTGAACCGGAACGCTAGTTGTTCTAATAGTGTTACAATAAGAAATGTGATATCTACATGCTTATCCATTGTGTACCACTAAACATAATGTACATCTGTTTTCTGCATGTATTAACATTACCCATGTGTATGCCACATATTGTGATTGCAGTTGCATCAGGAGTAAATAATAAGCTTATTATTTATTCCTGGTTGTATCCTGTTTGTGCAGCACCCACTATATCATTGTCTTGCTCAGCGTCGTCATGTCAGTCTACATTCGGATGTACCACGTTAGTAGCAGCATGGACTTTTTCTTTGTATGTCACCCATGACCTTGTTGTCAACCCAATCATTTGTCTGGCTTTTTCAGCTGGGCAGCACCTGTTCAATCTTTGGCTGCGAGTATCTACGTGACTTCGTTCCCTCACGACCTTTAAATCAATCTGAACAGTTCAAGGTATTAGTCCAGCTAGCTCTTGCATCAGTAGTGACAAGTGTAATTGCATTGCTTAGTTGGCAGCACTACCAGGCAGTGATGTGGACACTGCTTGTAGCACGATCATTTACCGTTTCCACGCTTGGAGTTATATGCAGGTTACTGCATAACAACGTTCCGCTTTTCCATAATATGATCGTTGTCTTTGTATTTTGGTGTCTTCAGACACAGCAGGTGCTTGAGTAACAGTGTAACAAGTGTCCTATGTTAATGCTGGAGTATGTTTCTTCTAGAGTCACGCTGTGGATGTTATTAGTACCATATGTTATATTGTCTCTTTTCTGTGAACTCCCAATATTTGATTGTGTTTCATTATTCCTCTTGCACAGTGTTATCCGCAGGGTGCTCTTTTTGTAAGCAATGTGCATGTGGTAGATTAAATTGTGTTTCTCATGCGTTTTTGATTTAGCTGTTAGACATTTATGGAAATTTTAGTCTGATTAGCCACACGTTGTTATGTGTAGATCATTGATTACTACTTCACGGAGTATGGCAAGGAACCCATCTATGGCAGAAAAGATGTCCCAGTCACGTTTGAAGGCATCATAACGTGAGTACATGTTGAGTCTTGAAAAAGCCTTATTAGGAATTAAATAGTAAAAAATAGAGTAAAGCATTTGCAATAATTGACTTGTGCACATAGAGTTGAGTTATTAATAATACCAGCACGGTTGAGTAACAATTAACTTGGTTATTTATATTATTCTACCAACCGAATGAACTTATTCAATGACTATTGTATGAATCTGTGCTATGTGGGATTCATACAAAATATTGCTGTATTAAATAAATTTCAACTCTGGGTTAACTTTGTGACCAGCTTTTTTTTTTAAGTAGTTGCAGCCGTTCTGTTACATATTAATAACTACATATTTTTAACCATAAATATTCTTTGCTGAAATGTGAGTGCATCTTATTTGTCCATGCTTTTATATGCCTTAAAATATGGTAACCTTGGTAATGTGAGTATATTTACTTTTCTGTAGCCGATGCAACAACAACCAGAGCTTTTACGAGGTATTTAGGATCGACTATGTGCACAACATTACTGAGATGACAAGCCGATTCAAAGCTGTAAGCATTCTCGGTTGTTGAGGATTACTGTAACCTAGATTAGTTACTCGTTATCAGTATAAGCACTCAGACACAGGTATGCACACGCACTACATACACACAACCAGCGTTCGAAATTAGTGCTGACCCGGAGGCCCGAGGCCACCAAGTTTTTGTTTCGGCCACCATCTCTACGAAACTGCCGGTCCTCCTGACCAGCACTTTTTCCCCTCATATTACGCTGAAATACTACGGTTATCGCAATGGCTGTTTAGACAAACTTGTAAACGGGAGCGCATTCTAATACGCTCCGTTCCTGAGCGTAGACGGGGTATCCAAAACATCTAGAGCCGAGGGCATGAACTCCCTCAACGCATGATTCGCCACACGAACAAAACCTTGTGACAGTCTAAGAAATCGATTGCGGCATGACCCCAGTGTTTCTATGACCGCATAACAATAAGTTCATATGTCGCAGGGGTTATCGTGGGGAGTGAGGGCACGACCAGTGATACCTGACACGCACGTAATCAAAGCCGTTAACTGAATTCGTCACTTTTCTTTACATAGAAAGTGGACTATTTCTTATTCAGTTAGATATCTAGAAGTAATGTAAACTGTATCAAGATTCTATAGGCACTTGTAACTTTGCGGATATGCGGCAGTATTGATCTATGCATTGGGGTACCGTGGAATAGGGAGAAGAAAAACGAAAGTAAAACCTTTCCCACAAGCTCCCCCGACATTCCTAGAGCTTGAGATATATTATTCGACCAACTCTAAGTTACGCTGAGAGGGTCTATGTACCCCAGGGTACTGCCTGAACGTACCCTGGTACTATCTAATATGCCGAACCGTACCTCGCTTACTCCACTAACGAGTCTAGGGAGTCGCCTACGCCTACTCCCTAACCCTAACCCTAATCCTAACCCTAACCCTAATCCTAACCCTAACCATATCAAATAGTTACCAGGGTACGTTCTGGTATAAGGGACTGTACCCAGGGTACGTTCCGGCAGTACCCTGGGGGACATAGACCCTATGAGCCTAAGTTACATCCTGGTTACATGTATGCTGTTAATGCCAATGGTTATTTTTGTATACTATTTTGTTGCTCACTGCTAGTAAATCAGCGGACCACCAACTTTTGTGCAGGACCACCAACTTTCTGAAGTAGGTGGTCCTGCTGTCCACTAGATTTTCAGCCAAAATTCAAACCCTGCACACAACAGACATGCACGTCGACAATGTACGCGCACACTAACACGTTATATAATATTATATGTACTAGAATATAATATATATATATAATATATTAATGTAATGTATCTAATTAACATGCAATCACATATGTCTAGGAGAACGAAGTTAGCAAAGCTTTAGACCAGCTAGATGCATATGACTTCGACACGACTGCAGTGGAAGTCATGCCACACAGCACCAAACTCGAGCTGCGCCGCCTAGTGGAGCTCTGGCGAACTATTCTTGAGTTTGACCAGTACAGAGATGAGGTAGAGTGTGCTTGTTTAGTTTCCATGCATTGCAATTGATCTATCTGCCTAGGCAAGGCAACCACATTCCCTTGACTATTGTTCCTCGGTCGGTCAGGGTAGACTTAACGTGAATTGATAACTGATAGGAACTGATTGCTATGTAATAATACACTGACATGGCTGAAGTGTCTTATTTTTCCTGATGATAGCAGGTGTAATATACTGACGTTTAGGATTATAAATTATCGTAAGGAATCGATATAACTGTTGTTATTTCATTTGTAGTTGAGCAAGAGCGTTCTCCTGTCAGAGAGCACCAGTGTGGACACGTTCCTCAATAGTGTCCACAGTGTCGGTAGCGATACTCAAGATGAAGAAATCAACTTGGTATGTTTTTCGCATGTATATTGCAGCCGTTTCATCACCTCTTTGTTACCTCGTTAAAACTTCCCTGATTTAAGAGCTGATTTTAGACATTTTTGACAAGGACTGACACTCTGATAATAACTTGACAAAATACGTTTCTTTTGGAATAAATTTGAGTGAAAAAAATTGATATTGCAATCACTGGTTGGTCGGCGAGTTTTGACAGATGAGAATGTGTGCTTGAGGCTAATCCGGCTCTTGTCTGATTGTTTTCATTGCAGACACTTGAGATGATTGCTGAGCACATTGGGAAGCTGCAACGAGGCGTTGTCAAGGACATCACAGATGTCATGGTAATGTTCCCTCCCCGTTATGTTTTACACCGGTCGGGGCTGTATATATCACAATTACATCACAGCATGAGTACCGGTTTGACTTCGAGGAGCTTTCAGTAAAACTCTTTCTCCATTTGTAATTTGTTACGTGTACAAACAACAATAAATAATCTAATATTTAGTTAACCCTTTGTTATTGAAAACCGTTATAGAATAGCCACCTGACTATAAAGGATATTTGCTTTTCCATCAGTGGCATGTAGGCAGTAAACCCTCCTCTATAGAATGGGCAGTTCTATTGGAAATTCCCTTGAATGGTCCTTATGTGGAGGGTTGACTGTACAAAATATTCAGAATTGCCACTAATTTACTGCTGATGTTCTTATACAGAGAAGTATAAATGTCACCCTGGAGAAGCTTGTTGCTGATTCCACGTTAACGGTAAGATTTACTAATGCTGAACTGAAGTGTAATGCCAGCTGGCAGCATATTTTGTAAAAAGACAACCTTATACTGTACTAACGTTTTAGTACAATAATGGATAACAAAAATTATGATATCAGAAAACGTTTTGAAGGAAGGTAATAGTTATGTGAGGAAACACTTGTGACAAGCTTTTCTATTTGCAGGAGAAGGTGGAGAGCTTCATTGAGCAAGTAGAAACTGTAGAGAGAAAAGTAAAAACTGAGGGACCACAAATAGTAAGACAGGTAGGTGAGAAGGCATGGCAACAGGAGGTTCACCTATTAATCTTGTTCATTTCATGATTTATATATATCGTTCTTTAAATGAGTTGAAATATTTTAAATATTTATTTTTAGTTACTTCCTAGTTTTTTCACTAAGGGAAAAATTTTCATCTGCAGCTTGCTTCTAAAGCAAACCCTACTTCTATGTGTTTCAGGTTGTGACAAGTTGGGCAGAAGGTATTCTTGGACACTTTGAACGTTACCTGGTATATGTGGAGGAACAGGTATATTACATTCATGACATAATTTTAATTGGTTATATCAATAGGACAAGGTATACTACATTATTTTAATTGGTTATATCAATAGGACAAGGTATACTTCATTATTCTAATCGGTTATATCAATAGGACAAGGTATACTACATTATTCTAATTTGTTATATCAATAGGACAAGGTATACTACATTATTCTTATTGGTTATGGTAATAGTGCTCGAACTACTGCATTTCTGACCGTGTAGTTAGCAAAGTCTATTTTAATTCTGAAACATCGTACTAATGAAGGCTAAACCGCAGATGCCCTCCTCAGTTGGTGTCCAACGTGTAATTTGGATAGCGGTACTGTTTAAACACTAATTTTCCCCATAGGTGGCGCACAAGGTCGGTGCATGCGAACCAGTTAGTAAAGCCTTCAATGCCTCTGTGTTTTCCGTTTGTAAGGAAACTCTCTATCCACTGGTAAGCATTACTTAAATATTGCTATTTTGGACGCTTGACACGGTTTACTTAATCTTCCCACTGGAAATTGTAGGGATGTGAGTGATGCTTAGTGTACTTGTATACGTGTGTGTGTTCTGTTGGACGCTGAGTAGTGGGGCAAGGTCACGTGTTATCTGTCATCCTACCAAGTTCTGTCACAATATTAGCCAACTGCATTGCCCCCATTCCAGTTGTCACCTACTGCGTCACCATCCCAGCTGTCACTATTATAACTGCATTACCATCCATGCTGTCACTATTATAACTGCATCACCATCCATGCTGTCACTATTATAACTGTGTCACCATCCATGCTGTCACTATTATAACTGCGTCACCATCCATGCTGTCACTATTATAACTGCATCACCATCCATGCTGTCACTATAATAACTGTGTCACCATCCATACTGTCACTATTATAACTGCGTCACCATCCATGCTGTCATTATTATAACTGCATCACCAACCATGCTGTCACTATAATAACTGTGTCACCATCCATGCTGTCACTATTATAACTGCGTCACCATCCATGCTGTCACTATTATAACTGCGTCACCATCCATGCTGTCACTATTATAACTGCGTCACCATCCCGGCTGTCACTATTATAACTGCATCACCATCCATGCTGTCACCATTATAACTGTGTCACCATCCATGCTGTCACCATTATAACTGTGTCACCATCCATGCTGTCAATATTATAACTGTGTCACCACCCCCACTGTCCACCCTTTTCAATGTGGGCGACCACTGATATCACACCTGCATGATTGTTTCACAGAATGGTTTCTGGGCTGGACTGGGGATTTGCATGATCATGGTGATACCCAGCATCATTCTCTCTGTCAAGCTGGCAGGCCTCTACAGGAAAACACAGTCCTACACAGCCATCGACGAGCGGTAAGTAGACGCATGTAGACAGGAAGGAGAGACACTGCCAGGTCAGCAAACAGTCAGCAAATAGTTTGGAGATAATCAAGACGATGACTAGCTAAGCTACATGTTGCGATCTCGATATATTTTTTTTAGCGAGTGTGAAATTCCAAAGTGACAGTTAGAAAAAGGTGGACTCGTTCTGTGTGCTGTTGAAGCGCATGTTTTGAGTGGTCACTGTATTTAGGATTGGTTCCAAGTCATTTTGTTTGTTAGAATGAATTCATTCCCACACGAAATGAATCATTCGTTCATTTACTTGTGTTCTGATGATACATGCAGTTTAATTTCGTTTAGCAGTTGATAGCGTTCATTCAGAAAATAAGTTTACCTCAGTTAGATCCATAATCGAATAATAGTGCGATCGAAAATTTCGCCGTTGTAAGTAATTATAACTTATTATGTATCTAACTGAGATAAACTTATTTTTATGTGACATTGACTTGGCACTGATTAACACATCTAAGATGTATTTACTCTTCATAATACAGTCAATTCTCCAAATTACAAACGCCTTTGATAGCGAATTGCATGTTAAACTGGACGAGTTCAAAAGTCCCAACACCATGTAAGACAAGTAAGATGCCTCCATTCCCTATAAACCAAACTTCACAGAAAACTGAACTAAATGTATGGTCCCGACCGAAGGTGGTCGGTATAGGAAGAGTTGACTGTACCAGCCATGGGATATTGACAAGCTGGCTGGATTATGTTGAACAAGAAGTCTTTAAATGGCATAAGAAACAATGCTGGGGGGAGGGGGGGGTTGGGCGTAGGCCCCTAACTATTGTTATGGTGTCTGTAAGGCAAATGAATCTAGGCCAAAAAATGTGCATACTCGCAACCTTCCACTGCGGTGAACACCTTGACCTGTTGTATAGTGCACGCGGCTATCAGTGGTAGATTGTGAGACAGATGCCAGCGATCATAATGCAAACACTCTCCCGCTCATGTAGTGGGTCCAGGAATTAGTGGTTGTAGAACACCAAGCAAAAAGAGGGTCCATCATCGAAGCGTTTTCCCTCGCCATCGCTCGTTCGTTGTCCCCTAAAGTCGACCTGTTTTTGTGATTACTTGCAGAGATTCTGACACCTATCAGAATGTAGCTGACAATATTCTGCTGTCAGCGTGAGTAGCAGCCTCGCCCGTAGTAGGGCCATGATAAAAATATTGTTTGTTTGCCCACACCCGACCGACCCGTCAAAAAGGCGCCGACTCAAAATTTTTCTTTTTTTAATAAATTGTATCACTGTACATTATATAAATCTGTAGGCAATGCATTATAATTATGCACCAAGCAAAACAAACATTCAACATAAAAGGTATCTCCACACAAGCACACCCGAGCATGTAGACACCAAAAAAAAGCAGACCCTTTTTAGCCTGGGTCGGGTGAGGGCAAACAAAGATTTTTTTTTTATTGTGGCTTAGCTGTGTGTGCGTGCGTGCGTGTATGTATCTAGGGACGCATGCAGACGTACCTCCCCCTATGGCTTACACCCGCTGTTGCCTCGCTAGCCAAGAAGAGAAGTAACCATGTCGCGCTGCTGCATGAGTGTTTGTCACACGTGGGGAGCATGGTGTAGTAGTGTCAGCAGCTATTCTGTCACCTCGGGTCAAGGTCTCACAACGGTTCAGTGATGAGTGACCTCGGGCCAAGGTCGCACTGCGGTTCAGCGATGAGTGACCTCGTTCAAGGTCATGCTTGTAGTTGGAAGTGGACGTGACAGCTCCTTTTAGAAAATCGGAGAAATTTCACAGGAATTATTTTGCCTACAAAAAATACTTAAGGGGGGATGATAAATGAGATAATTAGAGGATTTCTCATGTTTTTACCAACCATTTTTCATATTTTTTCAACCGTTCTGATACTTACGGATACTCCTTGCATATAACACCAAGTGTATATAGTAAGGCTAACTTGATAGAACACATGCACAGCATACTTTCCACCAATATCTGCACTGGTCTGCATTCCAAATTAGATTGTTTACATATATATATATATATATGTCAGCAAACCTAGCGCGTGATTTTTGCTCTCGCGAGACCTGAACCCTGTCTCTACGTTACGTTAATTACCTTTGTGTACATTTCAAGATAATTACCAGTCGATAAATATTTGCGTCCCGTAACCACGTGCGCTCGTTTTGTCAGACCGTTTGAACATTCCATTATCGCAAACCTGATGATGGCAGGCACACGTTTGCTGTTCATTTACTCTGTTGTAGCTTATAACAGCACAAATTCGTGGTGATTGTTGCGCCAGAGTAATCGGTAAAAAGCCCGCTAATAGGTGAGACCGAATATGTCTACACTTATGCAGTTTTCCGATTTATTCATATAATAGTTAGTTTAATGTAGGAAAGGTGAGGGTGAAAAAAAAGACAAATAATTTGAAACCAAATATCTGGAAATGTTTGCACAAACTTGAGGGGGAAAAAAGGAAAAGGAAAAACCAGACAATCAAGAAGCAGTTATTGTGTGATTAATCGCATAATCTATGCAAAAAGTATCATTAGCACACAATGTCATGATTAGAATTATCGAAAAAAGGCTGAAGGATAAGGTCGACACATAGAAGTCACATAGCTCATGATGCAGCTAGATTGACTTACCTGGTATGAGTGTCATGGATTGATATCGTATCACTGAAGGCCTTTCTTTGATGTTAAAAGTGATTGCCGATTTTATAGATTACCAGGTATAGTCGATCAGCCGTGAACATGCAAAGCACAATATTATCATAATAATGTGAAAGGATCTACGCATATGGAGATAGCCAAGGTTGCAGGTTTTCGTTAATAATTCCAGCGTTTTCCTGAATTTGTGCGCCAGTCTGCACATGCCATGCATCTACGTGTGTAGAAGCAGCCTACACGTGCTCATGTAGTCATAGATGTTATATAGTATCAGGAGTAGATAAAGGGGGGGTCCCTTTATCTACTCCTGATAGTATATATAGTATGTTACCAAGCGCTGCTTTAGCTTTGCCGAGATATGTTGTTATAGTTGTGCACAGCACAGGGCTAGCTAGCTCTAGTACTATTATAGCCCGCGTACAGTTGCCGCAGGCCTGCAGCGCCTGTACGCGGGCTATAGTACTAGAGCTAAGGGCTAGCATACCCTACAGCCTTCATTGTCGCCCAGGCTGAGCTCTACCATTAGTGGCTATCCCGCTTGATTGTTCTCTGGTGTGCCCGCTCTTTCCCCACACCCATAAGCTGAGCCTAGTAATGGAAGTCCAATCAGGCCTTCACTTACGCTGAGAGGGTCTATGTCCCCCAGGGTACTGCCGGAACGTACACTGGGTACGGTCCGGTATACCGGAACGTACCCTGGTACCAGAGCATATAAATCAACGTGATTTATATGCTCTGCGGGTATTATCTAATATGCTGGACCGTACCTCGCCTACTCCACTAACGAGTCTAGGGAGTCGCCTACGCCTACTCCCTAACTCTAACCCTTACCCTAACCCTAACCCTAACCACATCAGATAGTTACCAGGGTACGTTCCGGTATACCGGACCGTACCCATGGTACGTTCTGGAAGTACCCTGGGGGACAAAAACCCTATGAGCTTCACTTACACACATCTGCATGCCCACACATACATTCCTGGCTGTTGGAATAACACTGTGGGCTTTTTTTCCTGTTGATAAGTGTAACAACTCGTATTTTCTTCATAAGTTGTTAAATTCGTTACCACACGGCGATTGTAACAGCTACTGGACATTTCGTATCTGTTCATTAGTTTACTAGTGCTGGTCATCGCCTACCTATTGATTGCTCACCTGTTGATATGTTTAATTTATTCGCCCTGGTCATTGCTTACCTATTGATTGTTCACCTGTTGATATGTTTAATTTATTCGCCCTGGTCATCGCTTACCTATTGATTGTTCACCTGGTGATTAGTTCACTAGCTCTGGTTTTCATCTACCAATTGAGATCTCAGCCATGAAGCTATAGTTTACTTATTACTAAATATGTTGATTGTTGATTAGCTCTGGTCCTCACCCACGCGTGTCTTTGTTACACACAGCATCGACAAGCACAACCGCAACGCTGCCCACCACCACTACTACGACAACAGCTCCGACTACTACGATGGCTACAGCGAACACCACAGCAGACGTTCGAGCCCCGGCCGCCGGCCGCCATTGGCAGCGACGGCGCATAACAGCAGCAGTCACCATGGCAACCGTTACTACAATGATCGCGACGAGGACGCCAGTACAGTGTGGGAGTACCAGCCGTACCACGGCAGCGCGGAGCCTGAATATGCAGAGTTGAACCGACCGCCACCCTACAACAGCTCCGCTAACAACTTCAACAGTGTGAGTGTGAGAGTGGGGTATGGGGTGAGTGTGGGGGTGGGGCACGGGGTGAGTGTGGGACCATGAGTGTTGACTAGCCTTAATTCTCATCATTTTACAGTCGAGCTGAGGCATTAGAATGCACTCACACAGGGGCACGTAATATTGAGGTGCATGTGTTTCCTTTTCAGGCCAAAGTAATGAGCTGCAAGAGAGACTAAGTGATGCCTGTGAGGTCAATGTGAGTAGCGACATGGAGAGAAGGTGCAGAGAAGAAGAAGAAGAAGTGCTTCAGGTGCTCAACGGTGCCCTGCCACGAGAGACGTTTCCTAGCTAATACGATATGTCATATCTATCTATTTTATACGTAAAGTTATATATACGTTATATAAAAGTTATATAAAGTTAAAAATATACGTGATGTATATATGAGTGTAAAGTTTTGTAAAAAAAAATATTTAGTCAAATCGTGATTTCTTATCAAAGTTTTTTTTGCACCAATTCGAGTGTGTCATACAGTGAGAAAATCAACATGGTGCTTACACTGTCCTGTTTAGGTAATTGCTATCACTGAAATGACAATAATAAGTATAAATTTGTGCATTTAAAAAAAGTTTGAAACGTGGTCATTACATTTGAAAATTTGAAATTGACATTAAGTGAAAAAAAGTGAATTGAATTAAAGAGCTGTGTTCGATAAAGTACTTTTCTGCTATCCACCATTGTCTGAATTTAATGTTCAGCTACATGCTATGATTTTTCTGGCCAGAATATTTTTATAAATGCAATTCTTGTTTAATTAAAGGCATAATAGGTCATTGATTATGCAATTTTAACGAATACTAGAGTAACTGGCACATTGTGTAGTTAATAAGTACATTACCTTATAGCCAAACGCGTATTAGTTTGTCCAATATCACTGCTAGTTACTAAGAAATGTCGAATTGAAATCCGTAAATCTGGTAATCTGGCGCCAACGCTAATTTGTTTGCCAAGCAATATACTAGCCTCGAAGTGGTTAGGTGACGTCACATGCTGCTACGAGTGTTGTGCAGAGAATTGCTTGTCCT